AGTGTTGTGAAAAAAATACATACATGCATACACAGATCAACCTCCATACATACACAGATAAACCTCAATACATACATACATATATCAACCTCCATACATATATACACAGATCAACCTCCATACATATATACATAGATCAACCTCCATACATACATACACAGATCAACCTCCATACATACACAGATCAACCTCCATATATACACAGATCAACCTCCATACATACACAGATCAACCTCCATACATACATACATAGATCAACCTCCATACATACATACATAGATCAACCTCCATACATACATAGATCAACCTCCATACATACATAGATCAACATCCATACATACACAGATCAACCTCCTTACATACACAGATCAACGTCCATACATACACAGATCAACCTCCATACATACACAGATCAACCTCCATACATACACAGATCAACATCCATACATACATAGATCAACCTCCATACATACGCAGATCAACCTCCATACATACACAGATCAACCTCCATACATACATAGATCAAACTCCATACATACATAGATCAACATCCATACATACACAGATCAACCTCCATACATACGCAGATCAACCTCCATACATACACAGATCAACCTCCATACATACACAGATCAACATACACAGATCAACCTCCATACATACGCAGATCAACCTCCATACATACACAGATCAACCTCCATACATACACAGATCAACCTCCATACATACACAGATCAACCTCCATACATACACAGATCAACCTCCATACATACACAGATCCACCTCCATACATACATAGATCCACCTCCATACATACACAGATCCACCTCCATACATACACAGATCCACCTCCATACATACACAGATCAACCTCCATACATACATACATAGATCAACCTCCATACATACATAGATCAACTTCCATACATACATAGATCAACATCCATACATACACAGATCAACCTCCTTACATACACAGATCAACCTCCATACATACACAGATCAACCTCAATACATACACAGATCAACCTCCATACATACACAGATCAACCTCCATACATACACAGATCAACCTCCATACATACATAGATCAACCTCCATGCATACGCAGATCAACCTCCATACATACATACATACATACACAGATCAACCTCCATACATACACAGATCAACCTCCATACATACACAGATCAACCTCCATACATACACAGATCAACCTCCATACATACACAGATCAACCTCCATACATACACAGATCAACCTCCATACATACACAGATCAACCTCCATACATACACAGATCAACCTCCATACATACATAGATCAACCTCCATACATACACAGATCAACCTCCATACATACACAGATCAACCTCCATACATACACAGATCAACCTCCATACATACACAGATCAACCTCCATACATACACAGATCAACCTCCATACATACACAGATCAACCTCCATACATACACAGATCAACCTCCATACATACATACATACATACATACACAGATCAGATCCTCTCCATACATACACAGATCAACCTCCATACATACACAGATCAACCTCCATACATACACAGATCAACCTCCATACATACATACATACATACACAGATCAACCTCCATACATACACAGATCAACCTCCATACATACACAGATCAACCTCCATACATACACAGATCAACCTCCATACATTCACAGATCAACCTCCATACATACATAGATCAACCTCCATACATACACAGATCAACCTCCATACATACACAGATCAACCTCCATACATACACAGATCAACCTCCATACATACACAGATCAACCTCCATACATACACAGATCAACCTCCATACATACACAGATCAACCTCCATACATACACAGATCAACCTCCATACATACACAGATCAACCTCCATACATTCACAGATCAACCTCCATACATACACAGATCAACCTCCATACATACACAGATCAACCTCCATACATACACAGATCAACCTCCATACATACACAGATCAACCTCCATACATACACAGATCAACCTCCATACATTCACAGATCAACCTCGTCGAGTCCGAACTGGCACTAGGCCAACCCCAATTACAATCGATTATCAAAGGTTCCACGTGTGAGGTCTTGAAAGGACATACAATGCCATGGTGTAAATAGTTTCTTGGTGGCACAATCCTGCCTATAACGTGTCCATTCACACTGGCTCCCTGTCTACAAATGAACAATAAAGATCTCATACTACCGCTTATCGTGTCGAATAATTACTCTTTTTCGGCTAGGCAAGCATCCAACCGATCCTCATGACGCACATTAGACACCTTTGACATATGGTCCAGATGATTATTCTGTTTGGCGTTAAAGGTCAATATAAATGAATGTAAAGAGCACAAGAAGAATTATAATTAGCATATACTCTAGTTCGTTTCTTTCGTTTGGTTTTACGCCGCTTTTAACAATATTCCAGCAATATCACGGCGGGGGTCACCAGAAATGGGCTTCACACATTGTACCCATGTGGCCGTGGGGTTCGAACCCGGGTCTTCAGGGTGACAAGTGAACGCTTTACCCACTAGGCTAGCCCACTGCCACTCACTTGCTTGGAAAGGAATTAACTAAGAAACGAAGTAGAACAGGGTGCCATTGTACAAAGCGATCTTAGCGCTAAGGTGATCGTAACTCCCATACCTTAACATAGACTTACGACTGGCGGAGCGCTAACGTTGTTTTGTACAACGACACCCTGGGCCTAGATTTTTGAAGCTAAGATAGTCGTAAGTTAATGTTAATGTATGGCACTTACGACTATATTAGCGCTTAGTTAATGTTAATGTATGGCACTTACGACTATATTAGCGCTAAGAGAGCTTCGAAAATCTAGGCCCAGGGACCCATTTCACAAAGCGATCGTAGCGCTAAGGTGATCGTAACTGCCATACTTTAACATGACTTACGACAGTAGTAGCGCTACGACCTCTTTGTGATAGGGGCCCTATCATCAACACACTATGCTTATCGTAAAAGCCGACTTACAGGATTAGGTGGTCAAACTTTGTTGGTGCCTGCCGCCGTATCCCAACTGCTTAGGTCGGTGCTCATGCTGTCAATCACTGGAAAACCAGACCAATAATGGAGTACTTGTAGGATGTTGCCATATAGCTGGAATAATGCTGAATACGGCGTTGAACAACATCCTGAATCAGTATGGTGTAATTACTCTGTCGGGGAAAGATAAAAGTTCCACACAAGTCGAATGTATGATATTCCATAATCAGTAACGAGTCATTTACTCGAATATTTGTAATAACTGATATGGAGTGAGACAATGGTTTGTTCAGTAAGTGCTGGTGGTGGAATTGGGTTTAACGTCGTGCTTGAGAATATTTCACTCATATGACGACGTGCATGCGTGTGTATGTGTATGTGGGGCTGCTTGTACTAGCCCAGACTTAAGCTGGTTTTATAGTGCTAACCCACTGAGATACCATGCCGCAGTGAAGCATGAATACCCCACTCAGACACATTATACTGACTCCGAGCCGACCAGTCCTTGTTGTACCCATTAATGCCGAGCGCCAGGCAGGGACCAACAAGTACCATATTTTAACGTCTTCTGGTATGACGCGGCCGGGGATCGAACCCGCGACCTTCCGCTCTCCGGGCGGACGCTCTTACCACTACACCACGGAGGCGGCCCGAATATTTGTAATAACTGATATGGAGTGGGACAATGGTTTGTTCAGTAAATGAGTATAGGTTTACGGCACTTTTAGCAATATTCCAGCAATATCACAGCTGGGAACCCCAGAAATTGGCTTCACACATTGTACGGCTGTGGGGAATCGAAAAGGATCTTCGGCGTCCCGAGCGAACACTTTAACCACTAGGCTACCCCACTGCCCCTTGTTTCGTAACAGATTTAGTAAGTGAAATATATGAATGTTGTTTTACGGCGTGGTCAGCACTTACCATTACGACAACCTCCGGCCTTGTTGAAAAGTATCTTGACTTTTCAACGTAAAGTGACGTACCCAATTTATTTCATTCCGTGTATGTGTACCATATATATAAGAGACGACTATGGCGGTGAGGCTTAATGACTCGATTGATGGATGTCATTGCGTTACTTTTGTATAGGTCGATGTTCATGAGGTTGATCACTGAACTGTCGTGTCCAGACTCAATTATTCACAGACTGCAGTCTATTTGTTATGTTCCTCGTTATTTACAAAACAAACACCCCAAAACCAATTCCATAAACACAAGCTCAAAAATAGCATATGGTTCTGCAGCGAGATATAACAGTAAGTTTTAAAGCCTCTTTTAGCAATACTACAGCAGTATCACGGCGGCCACCACAAAAGGGCTCAAGACGGCACTCATGACGTTTATTGTCCAGGCAGTCGCGTACAGAAGAAAGCGTTGTGTAACGAGACACATATCACGTGACCGGACTTTTCTCTTGTTTGTAATCAAACGCGCATATTCATAATAAGAAGAGACTGGACTCACGAAAGCTTTTCGGCGCTCTCTTCATAATGTTTTACATTGTTACATATATATTCTTCCACAACTGCGACAGTTAGGTCTATGACAGTACATATTAGATATCAAACTGGCTGCATCGTTTGCTCTCCATCAGCTTCGATGACAGCACGTGAAGCCGAACAACCTATGTCAACAAAGGATCGCTACGCAAATCGAAATAGTGTTACACGTTTTTGGATATCTTCTCAGTGAAACTAAACCATTCTATTAAAGATGATTAGTTAGATGTGTAGACTCGTCAAAAATAAAAGAGCTAAGAAATATGTACATTATATTGAATGGACATGGCAAGATGTGACGAATCGTCACATTTTTCTGGCCTGTGGCAGAGGTACTATGCTGGCTTGCCGCATGGAACTCTGGGTAGGAGAGTGGTAACGAGAATAACGTTAATAGTGTGTGATGTCTTTGTAACGATCGCTTGTTTTTGTTTTGTAGGTGATTATTGTGGGGGTTTTAGGGCTAGAGCTCGCCAAGGAAGCAATGAAAGAAAGGTCGAGGAAGCTGAAGTGGCTGGTAAGTTTAGATAGAAAGATCTTGTGGCAACGGATGCATCTTACTGGAAAAAATTATGTTTTTTTTAAAAATTTCTCTGTGAGTGAGTGAGTGAGTGACCCAATGGAACGAGACAATGTTTCCTCGCTGTAATTTTAGATGACTTAACAACTTAAAGAATTAACAAGCTTAACATTTATAGCGATCTTTTTATCGTTCAGTCTAACGTACATCAAATCTACAGGAGACACAAACACCATTAAAAGCACGGTCAGCTTATCCCTTCATTTCCAAATCCGACTAACAAAGAGGCGAGACAGTCATAGGCCTCTGCCATGCCCAGGGGACGCAACTCTGAACAGCTAATTGCGGCGCCTCAGACGCCTGGGCCACCTGGGCCCCAATACAACCTGAATTGCTGTGACAGACAGACGCTGTAAATATACAACAGACACCATAGAACTGGTATGGTGCAGACACAATGACATGATAAACATAATCAAGGTTAATGTTACAGTCAAACCCAATTAACGCTAGCATGGTTAAAGCGTAATGGTAGCGTATGGCCTCGACAACGTGTTAAACATCAACAATCCACTTGACTCCAACCTTGGCTTCGAAATTGTTACTGCATTTGAATTTGATTTCTAATTATATGAATATGAAAGCAGGTGGTGGCGTTGACACTGTTCTTATATCGAAATTGCGTGCTGAAATATTGTACCGTAAAGATATGGAAAAAAAACGAGAGGGAAAAGAAAGACAGAGAGAGATAGAGAGGAAAGGAAAGAGTGCGCGAGAGAGAGAGAAACAGAAAGAGAGATAAAGAGGGGGAAGAGAGAGAGGTGACAGAGAGAAAAACGAGATAGAGGGAAAGAAAGAGGGAGAGAGAGAAACAGAAAGATAGAGGGAGAGGGAGGAAGAGAGAGGAGTGAGAGAGAAAGAAAGAGATATAGAGACAAAGAAAGGGTGAGAGAGAGAGAAACAGAAAGAGAGATAAGAGGGGGAAGTGACAGAGAGAAAGAAAGAGATATAGAGGGAAAGAAAGAGGGAGGGGTGACAGAAACAGAAAGATAGAGAGAGAGGGAGGACGAGAGAGAGAGAGAGGAGGGAGAGAGAGAGAGAGAGAGAGAGGAGGGAGAGAGAGAGAGGGAGGACGAGAAAGAGAGAGAGAGAGATTAGGAATTCCGGATGTTAGTAAATCGTAAAGGTCACGAGAAGCTCATTACAATCAGTGTAAATAGAGATACTTAAAGGGCCTTGGCAACATATATTGAAACAAGAGCTCAAGTGTCTCTCGTAAATTGGAAAACTAACCTGGATTCTATTTGACCTTTAGAGCTCCCGATTCCGTCGATAATGTTCGATTCGTAAAAGCCAGGCACAGGAAGAAATCAACCACTTTGATCCGATCCCAGTTATATAGACATATTATAAAGTAGGGGAACTTGAACTAGAAGTATAAGAGTTAACAAATATTTCAAAGACAGACATCTTATGAACGCACCAACATTTCTCTTTATCGCCACCCCTAAATACAACGCATGGATGCACGTGCACAACGCAGTACACGTGCATGGGGTGTCGCTCTTGATTTTGACGATTTTCAAGAAAGTCGATAAATCACTGTAGACCATTAATTTTGACAATCATCGTGCATCACACAGTTGTTAGTGTTTGTTTCTATCCGGGTGCTTTTGTTATGTTTTTGTTTGAAAATGAACACCAATCATCTTTCAAGAGCTGTGGTCATAAGAAAGTGCAAAACATTCATTATCATCAAATCAGCATTAATTGCCTCCGATATATCTCCAAACAAATTTCAATCGTAAATCAAAAATGAAGTTCCCCTACCTTTACTGAAGAGTATATTATTAGCATAATGACAGACACTGAGGCCCAAAACGAATATCAAGAAAAGAGACACAAGTGTGTATTAATTTGACTGTTAGCATGTGGTGAAACACATTGTGTTTATTACTCAGGAGCATCAGCTGTTCAATAGTCATCGTGATCGTAGTCGTGCAAAACAGTCGGAGTTGACAGAGTTGCGTTCCTTAGTCGTGTCAGATATTTATGATCGTGAGTTCGATTTCCGGTTCCGGTTCCGGTTCTAGTTTTCTTAGCACCATATCCTTACTGTAAGACTTGCATCACACTGTAATTTCCCCCTCATGAAACACCGTGATGTAACTGAAATACTATTCTCAGCGGCGTTCACATAAATCCAGTCACTAATAATACATATGTCCTGTTTTGGTACTGATATATGCCTATACAATGTCCAGACGTCAGGTGAAAGTATTCTGTTTCCATAGTAACGGATCATCAGCACATGGACGAGCATCTTATTGTGCTGTTATTAGCGTGGGTGAGAGAGGCGCTGTCACTGACCTTTATATCGCTGCTTAAATACTTCCAGATCGATTATCACGAATGTTATAAATGCACTATCCTATATGTATTATACAAGGCCAGATAGTTTGTAAAGTACCTGGCAGTTAGGGTAGCCATGGCCCAAGTGGTTAAAGCGTTTGCTCGTCACGCCGAATACCTTGGTTCGATTCCCCACACAATGTGTGGAGACTCCCGCCGTGATATTGCTGGAATATTGCTGAAAGCAGCGTAAAAATGTAACTCACTCTCTCAGTCACTCACTCACTCGTACAGTACCGCTTGAAATTTGACGTGGTTGATTATTCTATCAAACAAAGTACATGAAAAACACCCCCCAAAACAATAATCTGAAAAAGAATTTCGACCAGTCAGAGAGCTGGTATCCGACACGCCTTCACTCGGTGCGGTCCGATGTCGGCCATTTGTGCCCAGGTGGTTTCAAAGTGGTGAGTCGACCGTCGACTGTGTATGTTATTTATAAATAACAAAGAAATTATAAGTATTTTAATAGGGTCTGAATAAACACTAAAGTCAATGTAGATTTGCCAGTTTACTTTAGATACATCAATATAAGGCGAGGGTTACTTACGGAGCAGTCTAAGTAAAATTAGGTTCATTATTATTCGTTACACTGTTATACTGAGTCTAACAAATCCTTGTGGAAGGTCGCGTCAGGTAACCTTTGAGCGACCTATGACCGTCCAATCAAACGCGAGACGACCGAACGGATTTAACCAATCAGACTACGGCTACTATTTAGGGTTCGGCGGGACTTACAAAATGGATTTTCTCTTCCCCGGTCACCAACACTGATCTCACAACAAATGAAAACCCGCATAAAACACAGATATATGACCTGCAGAATATACGCTTTGGGGTTTCTGTTGACATGGTTATCATTAGCTAATATTTCCGCAAGCTGACATCCTTGAATACTGACAAAACGCTATTTTCTTCGACTGTTTACTCACTGTTGTGGCCTGCTCCATGTGCATCACACGGAAGCGATCGTACGGAAAATAGCATTCGGAATCGTTCGGGTACAAAACTTTTTCGAAGTAAAAGTTGAAAAGGTATGTGCGAATGTTAACTTTCGCGATTTGGTAAGCTGTGTTCTGATTGGTCAATTGAAAAGAGTACCTGACGCGACCTTCCATAAGGTTTTGTTAGACTCAGTATAGCAGTGTAACGAATACTACTGAGCCTAAGTTTACTTAGACTGACTTACGGAGTGTCTAGCCATGTCTGTAGATATATCTAAAGTGCATTTCTAACATTTATGACATTCCAATATTTGGGAGTATTCAATATGCAATCAACGACTCTAGGGCCTGTGGCGTTTCTAATTGTTTTGTTATTAGTCTGGGCGAAAATAACTTGATACTTTAATGACGTTTTTGATAACATCATTTTGTACCAAATCAAAGTGCACGTCTACCTGGCGACATTTCCGTATGAGGAATATTTCAAAGATTCAAAGACTTGGAATTCAAGCAAAGTAAACGAATATTGGTCATCAGGTTTCTTAAAGTGATCTTACACTTACACTGCTGGGTGAATTGTAAATAACCTTTGAATGAAAGGAATTAAAAGATATATTCACTCCCTGTATCTAACTCTGGAAATTGGCCTACATGTGTACTGTTTTATTAATTTAATTGAATTGTTTTTTATTGAAAAATACATTTTTTTCTTATAAGGGTCTTTAACTAATAAAGTTAACAGTTTAATGAATATTTTTAAATGGGATGTTTCTCTCCCAATACTGATATACACGTGTACAATTTCTGTTTTTTACATTGATGTTTCCTTATATACTCATGTCAATAATGGTTGTCAAAACCCTCCCCACCCCTACCCCCACACACCCCACCCCACACACCCTCTCCAATAAAAAATTAAAGGGGGTGACAACCATTATTGGCATGAGTATATAATTTACGTCTTAAACAAAGAAAACGAAAGTAAAATGTCTAATTTCCTGCGATTTCTTCCAGGCTATTTCAGTGCAGATAACATCAATTTTCACCACCCAGCTCGTTCTGCTGCACACAGCGTGGAGTGTGTGGGGCCTAGTAGCGTGTCTCACCAACCCAGATCCTGGACCACACTTCGCAGCGCAGTGCAACGTTAACAACGGGGGTATCACCGTCCAAGCCGCATATGGCGTTATCGTCGGAATTGGAATGGTGGTCGCCTGTGTAGTGACATCCATCTGTTCCTCAGCTGTAGTGAAGGCCATAAAATCTACAGAACGGGAGGAAGGAACGGAAGTGATCGTATAATGAGGGGTCATCTCAAACGTATTTATGAAGTGTAACGGCAAGAGGCTACACAGTTTCTCTCATAAATGACACTAGAGAGAAATCATTTGGTTTTCAGTGTGTGTGTGTGAGTGCATGCGTGTGTGCGTGTGCGTGTCATGTTCATGTCCGTCTTCGCATTCTAAATGCGTACATCGATGCTCCCGGCGACAATCACCGGATTGTCTGGTCCGACCCACTATAACGCTGACTACGACTAGCATAGGTTTCCGTGTACCAATCCAAACCCGGAATCCCTACGCAGCGTATTTAAGGTAATCAAGGGACATTATATTACGTTGTTCACTGGTTACGAGGGGGGACATGGGTTGATGTAAACATAAACAAACATCGAGGGTACATCAACCCATGGGCCCAGAGGGACCAGTGAACAACGTATTTATCTTACCGAACACCTTAATGTTAGTTTTGAATTGTTTGAAGCACGGGTACAAATCTTTTTTGTAGCCATCGCTCGATTATGCTGACAAGAAAAACAGATTTAGAGTTATCTCCCTTCCATCGATTTGCATTCGCAAAACATCGGTAATTTCCGTACATCATTACTTGATTCAATGTAATTCGAGATAAAGAATTACTACCACGAAGTACAGAATGAGTTGCCATTGACAGCGGGGTACATTGAAATATTTCTCGCTTGTAAGCGGGGTACATTGAAAATAATAGAAGAGCGCTCAGCGAATCAGAAAGCGACATTTATGTGTGAGGTAAGATAAAATTATATGGCCAACAGCTGACCTTGCTAATTTCAATCATGTGATGGACTTATGGAATGATCAAATACACAGGTTAGAAAACTTTGACAAATGGAACAATTACTTGTTTCTTTATTCAATGCTTAACGGACGTACTCAACAATATTCCTGATATGATAAGCGAGTCTGCACCAGACAATCCAGTGATCAACATAATGAGTGTAGATCTACGCAACTGGGATACGATGACATGTGTCAACCAAGCCAGCGAGCATGACCACTTGATCCCGTTAGTCGCCTGAAACTGTGGAAATCTAGACTTGCTACATATTCTAGACTTGCATGGGCTTTCTTGGATATATTTGTTTCAGGGTCTGTATGACAGACTAGACAAGCATGTGTTGCTGAAGACCAATTCTAACCCAGATCTTCACGGGGAGACAAGCATGTGTTGCTGAGGACCAATTCTAACCCAGATCTTCACGGGGAGACAAGCATGTGTTGCTGAGGACCAATTCTAACCCAGATCTTCACGGGGAGACAAGCATGTGTTGCTGAGGACCAATTCTAACCCAGATCTTCACGGGGAGACAAGCATGCGTTGCTGAGGACCAATTCTAACCCAGATCTTCACGGGGAGACAAGCATGTGTTGCTGAGGAGCAATTCTAGCCCAGATCGTCACGGGGAGACAATCATGTGTTGCTGAGGCCCAATTCTAACCCAGATCTTCACGGTTTTTGATGAAAGAAATCCAGAGCAAATTAATCAGTCATGACAAGAAGTGAATATACATTGTCACGAAGTACGTAGACAACAAAATTGTGTTGCAAGAATTCAAGTTGATAACTGAGATAAGGCATGCACGTTGAGCGTTCAATTTCACACACGTGCGCTTGTTTATTGAGTATTTTCTAAATATATTTCAGTTCAGTTTCCGTTTTGATATGTAATAAGAGCTGACAAATATATCAACGAGTTTCAAAGCAACATATATTCATAAACAAGTAATCAACTTTTACCTTGAGCTTGTAATATTGGCATTTCATTTCACTTCATTTTAGATATTGTAGCCGTAAACTATTTTAATCTATTTTACAAATTATTATACCTCGAAAGTACATATACGGCGTATACAAGACAAACTTAATGATAACCAAAATATATTACAGTATTAATATCTACAAGAGTTATACTTTGTCACAAGCCATGATATAAAATTGATGGAAGGAATCCAGGAAATAATGGCACAACACGAACTCAATATTTTGTTGATTGCTTTAAATATGTACTTCTATGGAATCCAAGAAGGGACACTGTAGCGTTGTCGCATTGCCGCGTTGTCGCCCATACAAAAAACAAGCAAAATGTTGCCATATTAACCAAAGTGCGACAACGCTACAACGCGACAATGTCCTGTCTAGGATTCCATATACTACTGTACACTGTTGCACTTCGATTCTTCCCCATAAAACGAAAATCCCATTCTTTCTGTTCATGTACAATGAAGCCCCACACCCCTCTGTATCCGACCCTGCATGATTAGAATATACTGAGAATAAACAGTCAAGCGCCAGCCTATTTCAAAACTAAGATGTGAAGCTGTGGAAATGTTAGGCTAAAATAATTTGGAAGACCAATCCATATTTAGAGAGAAGGTTCATCTGGTAACTGATTTAGAGATATCATAATCATTTGTATTTACAATTAAAAGAAATATTGTTAAAGATATGATGGCACTGCTTTTTAAATCAAAATAACTATTCCTATTCTGCTTATGCAACACTATTAAACTTAGGTTTCACTTGTCAAAGATGACAATCGTGTGACCATATAACAGTCATTTCTGATTTTCACTTTTCAAAAGAAGATAACCTTTTTGAGGAAAACAAAATGCATGTTTTCCAAAAGCGCATACATCCTGTTTAAAGTAAAAGATAATTTCCATAATGGTTTTGGTTTTAAACTAAAGGTACTAAACCAAATTATGATAGTTGTTTTATTCTGAAAGATTTCCTATGAGACAACCTATATTGGCAAAATATACTGGGTGGCGCTTAACTTTTTATTCACAGTATACTATGTATACGGGACGGACGCTTATGTATAATACACCATCTTGAGATTATTCCGAACATTATAATTCTAAATCTTTTACTGTTAAAGGTAGCTCACGTACACTCGCGTAACCTTGATCCGTGGATATAAGGGAAATGCGGCGAAATTCATGTTTTAAATGCATGCTTTCATTTTGTATACGCACTGATTATTTTATTCATTGATTCAGCAAATTGAAAATGCCTAATATTCCACTCGTGAATGAAACTTTTGTTTACGGAAGCCATTTGCAATCATCACCCATTCGTGTGCCCACAAAATGTGACGTCACCTTGTTTCGTGGATTACGTAGTCGGTTACTTTATACCACTATGTACGACATCCCACTGCAGTAAATATTGACACCAAGGGAAGCAGACAACGAGAAGTGAGAATGTTGGAGCTAACGGTATCTTATTTACTTGACATTTTGTAAAAAAAAAATTTGGTAATGGTGGTATTTGGGGCTATTTATCCTAATGCTGGACAAGTACATTTAGTGTAATGCAAAGATTCGGAACTTTTTTGTCAGCGAGGCGTGGCATTGTGTGTACATCCAAAGTACCGCTTTGTGACGTCAGTCGAGACTTAATTTACGAACTAGCTTGATAATATTTGCGATCCACGAATCAAGGTTATCCACGAAGTTAGGTTACGCTTCTGTAATTGAAATATAGCAATAAATGCTGATAAAACTGGTTTATGGAAAAAAATTGCAATAAATCTAACAGGTTTAGATAACCAAACTAAACACTTATGTTTTTTTCTAGTATTAACCTGTAACTGTGTAGCTTTAAATTGGAACTTATTCCACTTGAAAAATATTATTGTCATTAAATTTTCAATTTAGAAAAATCACATTTGCGATTCTGGGAAAATGTCTAGGAAATTTGAACAAGTGAATTTACACTAAAAAGACATTATTACTGTTTTTGAGCTTTAAAATCATATTTAGAAATATACATTTGAAAATTAAACATGAACTGAAAATAATTCAACAAATATTGTTTTCAACAAATTATTATTAATATTATCATAAGCAGTAGTATTATATCAGTGAGGTTTAATTCTTTGTAAAACATGTTTGTGCGAATGCTTGTGTAATGTCAACGACGACTGGAATTTGACTGAAACAGAGTTATCGTTCTTGTCTAAAGTAGTTCTAGTCTTCCTACGCCAATATGAAATCCTGCAGTTGACTGGCACGTGTCGGCTAGTTCAGGAATAACACGAATTGGCCATGAATGTGGAACATTACGGCTATAGTTTCAAAACAGTGAGTTCCATTAGGATTATGCATTAACAAAGTAACAATTTCTTATTTTAAGTAACTGTGTTTCAGAATTTCTGATTGATTGAATAAAAGTGCTTGTTGACGTATTTTGTAATAGAAAGTCCTATCATCTTAGTATGTTTTAGCAAGGACTCTGGGTATTTGAAAAGTGTTTTTTTTTACTATTGTGAAGTTAAGACTGAGATACATCAACAAAACAACACGAAGATAAAGGAAATGCATACAGATTCCAAGAATCCTGTTTTGTTTATCATGAGCTGTTTTCTGGCTGAAACTAATTTGTTACAGGACTATTTTGTCCCACTTCGGTTTGGTCGTCCGAGTTGTTAAAGTAGTCTTCCAATCATTGGGCTAATAACTTTGTTCTGGCACCGAACTTAAATAACATAAATCTGAAAAACAATACTCCCAAATGTATCTGATATTCCAATCAGGATGTCCCTAATGCGTCTCAACGTTCATTATGAGATTGTTTTAAAAACAGCTGTCGGATTGTTTCTAAAACAACCCTGCAGTTTCTTTCCAATTTTGAATATGGTTGTGTATTTTTCAAATTGTGAAACAAATATGTGTGTTGTTGCTTTTTAAGTTTTCAATTGTAATTTGACGGAATAATGAAATTGAACGCCTGTGGAAATCATGCTGCCATATTTGGCGAATTACCTGCTACTGTACACCACCTACAGGGTATTGCATGGCGATATCTTTGTTTATCCATGTATATATGTATTCTGGTAAAATACAGATATAGTTGCTTTATGTAATAAAAGACGCTTTTGGCCGCTGGGTAATTATATACATTATTTGTCTGTAGTTTCATAGGATATATCTTGTTATGAGCGACTAATTATTTACAACGTCATAAAGGACGGTGATTTTAACCATAATGCGTTTGGTTCATCCCAAACCCAGGTGGTCATGACACAAACCGAAACATGAGTCTCATTAACCTATTCAGACAATGACCTACTTTTCTGCCGATCCGAATTTTCTCGTGTGACAGTGAAAAGATACACCACAAACAGCTATGGTTACACTGAATTTCAATTTCTTGTTTCATAAGAAAATGGCGTTTACAAGTTAATTTTAATTTGAAACTTGAATAACATCGTATTTCTATATTTTATGGCGAGGTGTAGGCAGCATGACCT